ACTGCTGGTGTCCGCCCTTTTCCGCTGGTGATGCAACATTTCTATTCGTTTGTCTCCCAGGTCTGTCACTGGTGGTGTCCACCCTTCTCCGCTGTTTCTATTCATTGCCTCCCATGTCTGCCACTGCTAGTGTCCGCCCCTTTCCGCTAGCCATGCAGCATTTCTGTTCATTTGTCCCCAGGCTTGTCACTGGTGGTGTCCGCCCGCTGTTTCTATTCATTTGTCTCCCAGGTCTGTCACTGCTGGTGTCCGCCCTTGTCCTCTGGCCATGCAGCATTTCTATTCATGTGTCTCCCAGGCCTGTCACTGGTTGGTGGAGTCCGCCCTTTTCTGCTGGCCATGTAGCATTTCTATTCTTTTGTCTCCCAGATTTGTCACTGGTGTGTCCTTGTCTTTTGGCCATGAAGCATTTCTATTCATTTGTCTCCCAGGTCCGTCACTGCTGGTCCATGTGGCATTTGTATTGATTTGTCTTTCAGGTCTGTCACTGGTGGTGTCCGCCCTTGTCCGTTGACCATGAAGCATTTCTATTCATTTGTTTCCCAGGTCCGTTGCTGCGGGTGTCCGCCCTTTTCCGTTGGCCATGTAGCATTTCTATTCATTTGTCTCCCAGGTCTGTCACTGCTGGTGTCCGCTTTTTTCCGCACGCAATGCAGCATTTCTATTCATTTGTCTCCCAGGTCTGTCACTGCTGGTGTCCGCCCTTTTCCGCTGGCCATGCAGCATTTCTATTGATTTGTTTCCCGGGTCTGTCACTGGTGCTGCCGCCCTTGTAGCATTTCTATTCATTTGTCTCCCATGTGATTTCTTTCTTTTTGTCTTTCAGGCTTGGTGCCTGCACTGCTGTTTTCTGCTCTGTTCGCTGGAACAGGTTCACCTGCGAAAGGTTCTTGCTCCTTTGAAAGGGGTGCGTGACTGTCTCCGGGATTGCATTCCTGCCACACTGTGTAACTCTCTCAGCTTTGTTTTCCTTTTCGAACAAGCGTTGGATGAATGACCAGATTGGATTTCGGCGGCGTGGCAGCGATCTCTCTGTTCAGTTGGGACGGAGGGCATACGTCAGGCACCAAAAATCAATTTTGTGTCACATCCTTCGCTCCTCATGCCTTTATTTCTTGTCCTCACGTGGTCAGCTCCCCGCTGACTCAGCAGCATGACCAGCATCATGTTCGCACTTGAAGAATAATTCCCCAAAAGGTTTACTGTTAGGGCTTCTCAATTCTTTCTTAAGATGTGTCCGCTCGCTCTGTACTGCTGTGTCCGTCTCTGCCTTGCAATCCTTTACATTTGTCTCCCAGCTCTGGGCTGCAGTGGCCGCCTTTGCCTTGCAATCCTTTGTCTCCCAGCTCTGGACGTCGCAAGCTCCATTTTCGATTTTGAAAAGCACAAACTGCTTGGGGTCTACGGTGGTGTAATTTTGTATGGAGTCGCGGTTGAGGGAGTCACGGCGAGACCCAATGGAAAGGACTTCGTTGGAGCCTTGGTGCTGGATTTGAACATGGTGAACGAGATCATGCTGGACAAGCTGGATTCAGGGGAGGACTATCATGACGTGGCCTGTCGCTGGCTGAAGAACCATGAGACGGCGTGGACTGCGTGGCTTCCCGATTCCACGAAGTGCTTCCCCCAGTTTGGCCTTTACTTGGAGCGCGCCAAGACCTTTGTGGACAGTCGTCAGGATCCAACGGGCTTGACGTGTCGGGCTTGTGAATCTGGATACTATTCAGCGCCCCTGAATGATGACCAAGGGCTCACTTATATTTGTGTGCCTTGTCCACTGGGGCATGCGCAGCCTTCGGGAGCTGCCTTGGCATGCGCGCCGTGTAACTCGGGGGAGTACCAGGATGAAGAAGCAAGCACTTCGTGCAAGCGTTGTGCAATCAGCACTTATCAAGACCAAAAAGGCCAAGTGAGTTGTTTGCAATGCCCCACCACCACCAGTACTGTCGGGCTAGGATCAGTGTCGTTCGATGATTGTCGATGTGAAGAGAATAGCATCAACACTGCATCCCGTGGGAGTCCCTCCTGTGTCGCATGCGGAGAAGGATTGAACTGTCCCTTTGCTTCTGATTTGGAAAGCCTCAAGACAGGTGGGGTGGTGAACCAAAAACACGGTGGTTTTTCACACTGGGGGGAAAAAGGAGGTTTTTCCATGGCCCATGGCACCTGCCATCGAAACCTGTCCAGGTGTCTCGGACTTGGGCCCTCAGTTCGTGCCTGCCATCAAGGAGGGCTACTACTCTTCGGCAGACGCCGCCTTGGAGGTCTACAAATGTGGAGTGATCGACCATTGCCCTGGTGGCCCACCGGGACAGTGCGCAGGAGGTCGAGAAGGGGCTCCCTGTGCCGAATGTCCTTCTGGGAAGACCTGGTCCAAGCAGGAATGTGTGGGCTGTGATGCAGGGACCACTGCCTTGTGGTGGATTGCAGTTGTTGGAGCTTTTCCAGTGTCTGCTGCGACTTACTACTTCATGAAACCCAAGGGCTCACAGCTGACTGCAAGACAAACCGCGGCCGTGGCGTGTGGGATGACCTTCAGTGGGCTTCAAGCAGTGGCGATCCTTGGAATGATGACTGTGAAATGGGCTGAAGCCTTTGGGGTTGCTTCAGGCTCTTTGCAGATACTTGTTTTGGACGTCGATGGGATCTCCTTCTCGTGTATTGCAGGCTCTAGCACATGGGTTCGCTACGTTCTTAGCACCTTGGCCTTCCCCGTGCTATGCATTTGGCTTCGACTATGCCTTTTTGCTTCTCAGTGGCTTCCCTGGGAGATGCTGCGCTGGAAGAAGGTCAACATGCAGAATGTCCTGGGAAATCTGTTGCAGATGGCTTTTGGCACCATGAGTGCCCTTGCGCTGCAACCTCTCATGTGCTACACGCACCCCAATGGCCTGCTCAGTCTCCTTCAGCATCCCGGAGTCCTTTGCGGTTCGCCGGACCATGGTGCCATGACGGTGGCAGGCCTCGTGTTCCTTGTTTTATATACATCTGCATACGGGACCCCAATACAGGTTAAGTTGGACGAGGGCTTTTGCAATAGAGTGTAGATGCCACATCATTTGATTGCAATCTTTCGAAAGGTCTGTTGCAATGATGCTTTGAGCTCCTCCAACGGTTTGGCGGCTTGGAACGGGCCACACTTGAAACCTTCCAGTCATGCTCTGGGTGCTTGAAGGGGCTCTACCACCATGTTCGACCTATTGCAAAGGGTCAATCGGTAAAGAAAACAATCACTGCGCTTTTCCCATTCAGAGCCGTGCAGAGCGCTGCTCCTTGAGCGCCGGTTTGAACCCTGAATCTCAGCCGGCAGATGTGCAGTGCTCAAAGTTGGTACACTTCTCCAAAACAGCGCGGTACCCACCCAGCGCGAGAAATTCACTTCTCAAGTGTGTCGTTTCACGTCTCTTGCTGCCAAACATAAGCCACAGTGTGACAAAGAAACAACTTGAGTACACTTCTCGAATGTCGCAGTCACAAGCAAAACTCCACTGAAATGTGGTACACTTCTCAAGTGCGTGCCACGGCCACTGCAGCAAGTGACTTGGTACACTTCTCAACACATCAGAATAATCAGAAAGCGACTGTGTCATATAGGGCCCCAGCGGTGACATGACCAACCAAACAAACCAAGCAAAACAGCAACACTTCCAAAAGGCAACTACGAACCCACCCTCAAAACATTTTAAAGGTCATGCCTGAGGCTTAAGTCAGCAAGGGGAAAGACCCAAGTTGCGAGGGGGCGCAGCAACACTCCCACAAAACAAAAGGGAACCAAGAAACCCAGCTGATCACTTGTGCACCAGCGACACTCTGTGTGTACTTTTGAAGTGTGGCCCTTTAAGTAGGCGTTGCGACAAATGCAATAAGTGGGAACCACCAGCGAATAAGTTGCAATCAGATGCAATAAGTGTTAAAAAAAGCTACATCCATAAGCTTCCACATCAAAGCTGGGAGCCACTGCTAAAAGCTGCCAATGGACACAAGCAAAGCACCACAGCAGTCACGGCAGTCGCGTGTCTCTCGGGCAACTGCAGCACGTGAGTTGATGCACTTCTCGACACATCTGAAAAACAAGGCCTGAGCGGTGACATACCCTGACAAATACTCTGAAAATACATTCGGTGTATTTCTGAATCAGTCATACAACCATATCCTGAACCAGCCATACCAGTGGCCGCATGACTACATTTGCTTGAACAGTCCTTGCGAGTACTTGCCGCTTTTGTAGAAATTGTTCGGGCACTGTATACGGTGAGACATAGAGAAACACCCCCTCACCCACCCGGCGCCCGGAACTGGATGAGAATGAAGAGAACATCGGCGACTGCGAACCGTTACTCTCCAGCGAATCCGAAACCTCGAGACATGAACCAAGGCTGCTGGTCGTCTTCGTGATCGGCTTCTTGGTCTTGTGCAGCTATGCCGCCTACAAGATTCCATACTGGAGCTGCAGGAGGGCCTTGCTGGGATAAAGGATTGGAGGATTAAACATATATATAAAGATAGGGAGGTAAAATGGGAGCTCAGGTTGAGATGTACAACAGGCTTCAGGCTTCCAGGCCAAAGTCTTTTCTTCCCGGAGTCGCCCTCACACCGGTCTGGGTGGCTGGTTGCGTGGCTTCAAGTTTGCTTCACCGCGAAGAAACAAAGAATCTTGGTCTTGGTGTTCATCTTGCTAGTAAATGACTTGTTTACTGTAAGAACAAAGGGCATCGCTACTAGGAGCAAGGACGCTACTAGGGGCTCCTGGCACTACTACTGGGAGCAAGAACGTACTAGAGCCATGAACCCGTTGGAGCTCTTGTGTTTTTTCCCAGCCTTACTCTGAAAGCTGTGCTCCGGGAGTCACATAAGATGACCGCCCAGGGGTTCCCGGAGTCTGGTTCAGTCCTTCTCATTCTTGATTGATCGCTTTCGACTGGACCGCTATTGGCACCCTGGCAGATTTGGGAGGGTGATGGGCAGTTTGAAACACACTCATGAACTAGCGATGCGCAAGGGATTTCCTGAACCTTTTTTGTGCATGAAAATACAGTACATACAAAGAAGTTGCGCATTATTTGTTTGAGGTACGGGGTTCCTTTGCTCGTCCGCGGACCGGCTCTTTCTTTGTGCGTGGTCTTTGCCACAGATCATCCACTTGCACAATCAGCTCTTGCCGGGCTGATTCTGTCCTTGTTTGTTCTGTTGCAGAAACTTGGCTGAGTTTGTTATTGGCAGAAGTGGCAACATATGCGAAGCAATGGCCGGGGAGCAGGGGCAGGGGGTGGTGGGGGACCTGAATTCAGGCGCAGAATTGACCCTTTCATAACTCGGGCTCATCCCGTGAACCCACATTCTGGCCGCGAGAAAGCTTCGTTGAAAGGACTTGCGCGATCCTTTTTCCCTGGCAGCTGGCCTGCAACATCGGTTGTTGAGTCGCCGACAGCTCACCACTCAAGTTGTGGCCATATGCCGTATGGGGGGCAGGGGCGCGAGCGGCACGGCCAGCATGGCTCGGTGCCTCGTCGCCAGGACCTTGGCGCGTCCATGGAAGGCGCCGGCCTTGAACTTTCTGGATCTTTGCTTCGGCCTCTTTCTGCAGCAGGCAGAAGCTGCACAGGATGTGCACGTGTGTTTCCGTGTTGTATTTGGCAGGCTGATGCCTTTCTGTAGGCAAACCTTGAAGACTGAAAGAGCACCTGGAGGATCCTGGAAGACGTTCATTTGTGATTGTTTGGAAGACGTTCGCTCTCTCTGGCTCTCCCGATTTCGGGGTGCTTCAATCGCTCTTACAAAACCGGTTCTTTTGTTTTTTTGCATGGTCTCCGTGCAGGTGGCCTCAGGGACAGCCATCCAGGCAGGCTCGTCCAGTGAAGATGTGGAAGCCTTTGCCCAAACCTTCTCTGTGCTCTTGATGAGCTGTATGGCTTTGGCATTGTTTTTGGTGGGCACGGGCTTGTTCATGGCGGTCATCCAGCAGGTCAGGGGGGTTGAGACGAGCATTTTCTTGACCTTGGGCTATGGTGGACCCATGGACTTGGCCAAACGAGTGCAAGAGGTGGCAAAGAAGCTCGAAGAGATTGATCATGAAAGGCTCCAGCAGCGCTTTCAAACATTGAACCCCTATGACGCTCATCACATTCATAGATGCTTGGAGCAAATAACAGGCGACTACTGGTCAGAGTTTAGCTTGCTTTCATCACCTTGAACCAAAAAGGGACATCACATCCACGAATTCGCGGATCTCAACCTTAGCACCCGGAAGGTCAGAGGGTCTACGGTCTACTGCAGAATTTAGAAGCCAAGCTCCCGTAAACTGGACCTTTTGCTCACGCTGGGGGTGTTGCACTTGGCTGGAAACCTAACATGCACAGCATGCTTTGGGCGAGGCAGTCCTGGTCAGGCATGGACGCATGGGAGCAAGTGGTAGACTTCGGTCTTGTTGAGTATCCACATCACCTGCCCAAAATGCTTTCCACTCAAAAGGTGTGGGTGAAAGAGCATTTAGGCGTCTGCTTCAGCTTGTATTATCCCTGTATCCAATACATTTTTCCGCAGACATGCCCTGCGTGCGACCCACCGCACAAGCAGGATAGTTTTTGGGACCAGGTTCCAAGTCTGAACCAAACTACCCAATTAGCCCACAGCTGCCACCTGAGGATTTGTCAGCCTGATGGCTCTGGAGGTGGTCTTCACTTCCACTCAAAGCACTGACCTCTCGTCCCGTGTGGCCTCTCGCTCCTTCAGCCGCCTCTCCCAGGCTCCGGGGAACCTCGGCCCGGTGCCCGCGCTTGGCGAGGTCTCCGGCGAGGAGGATGACGCAGCGGTGGCTTCAGCAGGGATGCCGGAAGATGAGTCGAAGCTGAGCGAGGAGGTGGGGTAGGGAATTTTGGGGAAGCAGTTGGTTTTGCTGGCGTTTCTGCACTCGCGTGCAGAGAAGGTTGCACGAGAGTCCGATTGAACTGCAGGCCTTGCTGGTAGACTCAGACAAGTTTTGTGCTTTGGGAGAAATGCGACGCGAACTGGCCTTTGTTTGCAGCTTTTGTGTATCAGTCTTTCGATTTGTCTCTCCCTCTCGAGGAACCTGAAGACCCTCCTACCCCCATGGAGAACGTGAAAATTGAACTCTGAGATGATGGAACTCTGCGAAAAGCGTCAGGATTTGTCTAAGCCTGGCTTAGACTAAGCCCAGAGCCACCGCTCGAAATGGGCAACTTTGATAATGTTTTCCCACTCACAGGTGCGCGGAATTGTCCTGATCAAAGATCTTTACGCCTGGGTGCCTGACCTGAATTGACTCAATGAGCCAATTTTTCCGACATGGCGGGCGCCTACAGCGCAAGTCTCTGCAGGCTTGATGTCTCAGACATCCGTTTCCCCCCACTGTATTCTTCAACGCATTGTGGCATTGTGGTCCACAGAGCTGGACCCACCTTTATTTGTCGTCGTCGGCTCATGAGGTCAAAACAGAGGTACCGCTCCCCTCAAAAGACCATCGTCATTTAGCATTTAGCAGTCAATTTGATCTCGTTTGGCCCGTCTGGCAGATTGAGACTCTTTACTGCCAGGAGTGCATAGATATGCCGTATCATCCCTTCACGACGTCCGTTCTCAGCGCACCTTGGTGCTGGTGGACCGAAGTCAAGACCATTTTATGGCCCCAAAAAAATCGCACGGGCTGCGACCTTGCTGGTGCGCACACATGTGGGCTTGGGAGAGACACCGAAAGCTGAAATCGATGAACGTCAAGCGCAGCCGCGGTCATGACTCACGTGCATGACCTGGCCTAGCTCACGTTTTGAGAGAGGATCAAGATTCGCATCGTTCTGCTTCTCAATGATTACATCCCAGGGCACAAACAATGTAGCCGGGTGGTTGACTTTGGTGTTGCATGATGTATGATGCTGTATGTTTCTTCTGGGTTATGCTTTTCGTGGTTGGTGGAACTGCTTTGCTTTGCCAGTTGTTTGACAAATTCAAAAAACCACTGCATTTGTAAGAGTTATGATGTAATGTTTTTCTTTGTGCTTGTCACACTGCATGTTCTATGTGCAATGGAGACTCTCGTTGGCTTGCAGCTTGGTGAGTTTTGGTGCCTGAGATGGGGCCAGTATCTCATTTCTCGAATATTTGCATGTTAAGCTTGCCATCCTCCTCGCGTGTGAGGCGCAGTGTAGCTGCGTAGCTCATCAGTGACTGAGCGCAGGTGAGCCAATCTTTCTTTGCTTAACTGAGCAGGCTCAAAAATTGGGCTAGTTCGACAACTTCCTCCTAATCCTAAGGGTTGACTGGCTGCCGGCCACAGTTTCTATTCTTTGACAGTTGCGTCTTTCAAGAGAGCAAATGTTCGTTTCTGCTTTAGTTATGTAAGTGCATGTTTGGCGAAGCTTTGAGTTCATGGCTGATTGATCCTATTGCTTGGCCCAAGTTCTTTTTAATTGGAACACCGGGGAAAGCTGAAACAGGCTAGTCATGAGCCGAGTTGGTGCTGC